TAATTGACTTCCACTTAATATAACACCATATAATTTCCAATTTCTTCCACCTTTCTTTTTACCATCAATTAAATCCACTTTTCTTCCAAGTTTACCACCTTTTGTTATCTTTAAAAGGAAGGTTCCATCCTTTGAAGGTTGAAATGAACTAGTTGTTGAACTAAATTGATCACCATTACGTCGATTTTGGACACCGGTGATACGAATAGTTTGAGCGGATGAAAAAGCACGATGAAGGTTTACTATGTCTAAAGAAGGGAGTGTACCAATGTAGGAATAAGGATTTTCTACAGGAATTATATCTTTAAGGTATGGTTTAAATTCAGTTGGTTGTTTCTATTAATGAATTATGTAGGGGGTTAATTGTTAAATTAATTAAGAAAATAGAAAAAAAGTAATTTTTTAAAAAAATAAACAATTAACCTACGGTCTGTATCACATGATAAGGATCATTCCTAGGACGCATTGATTTTCTTTTATCTTTTGAAGACGAGAAGATTTTTAGTTGACGGTGATCAGATGTCGGAGATTCAAGCATTGTCTGTCCATTAACATCAACATCATCTTCAGCATATATAAATGGAGTATATATAATATTATCGTAAAGAATCTAATATAAACATTTATAAAAAAAAAATTAGTATAATAAATTAAAAAAATTAGTATATAAATTGAAAATTAAGGATTAATATGTATAATTACCTCTAGTATTTCAGGATTCACACCATCAATACGAGTATTTTTTATAAAATCCTCTTTTGTCATTTTTCGTTTTACATTTTTATTAAAAGCGTCAGTATGAAGCATTAACAAAGAAAAAGCCAAAACATATGGAGTATCTATATAAATATAATTAATACAAATTAAATATAAATTAAAATATAAATTAAATATAAATTAAATATAAATTAAAAATAGATTAATACGGCATTTTGAATAACAAATATTATTACAGACAATTACCTGAAGAAGCAAACAAATCAGGATTCAGTTCATGATATCTCTTTGCGAAAGCTTCCATAACTCGATCGATTTGTTGTGTTTCTTTTGGTAAATGACATTCCATTAGTAATTTCCTATAGTTTATTAAATCACGCGTATTTAGCTAGAATGATGGGCTATTAAACGATATCAAACGATATTAAACGATAATAAATTCTATCAAATGATAATGAATACTATTAAATGATATTAAGTGCTATTAAATGCTATTGAATACTATTGAATACTATTAAATATTATTCTAATGGATACTGTTGAATACTATTAAATTATACTAAAAATACTATTAAACAATTTGGTTTATGACATACCTTAACGCGATATCAATAGGATCTTTTTCAAAATTGAATGACTCCATATAAGCTTTAAGTGCAGCTTGATGAAATGTGTCAGATCTATAAACAAATATAACGATAATAACGATAATAACGATAAGCGATAAGCGAATAAAGATTATTAAAAAAAATCGAGAAATAATAATAATAGTATAAATTACACACTTCTTGGCAAGCATTGTGGCTAAATTTGATTTTGAAAGAGTATAACGCATTCTTTCAAGATATTGTATCGGTGTTTCGGAACCAGGTTTTGTTTCAATTTTTGGAGACATATTATTAATATTACTATTATTATTTAAATTTGTCAATGATTTAGCAGTAGGAATAGAATTTTTTTCTTTTTCATCATTTGTCGAAACATTAGGAGTATGTATTACAGGAGCAGATTCCATACGTTTAAGATGTGGTTTTCGAGGTTTCAAATAATTTGGAATGTTATCAGTTTGCGAATTAATATTCGACAAACCTTTTTTTGAAAAGGGAGAGGTTTGTTTTGATTGATTTGATTGATTTGATTGATCATTTGAAGAACCATCAAGGTCAGAAAGATTTTTTGAAGTGAGTTTAATAGTTGGAGTATCATAAATGCTACTATTACTAGTAATTGGAGAAGAAGAAGCAGAACTGTCATGTGCAGTTTTCTTTGCATCATCGGTAGAAGAAATCGAACTGCTAGTGAGCAGGCCACCGTTTTCATCAGGTTCAAGAGGTGAAAAACTAAAATCACCAAGATCAAGATAAAGAGGACCACTTCCATCAGGATTTTTAGCCGAAATGGTGGTAGTGACGGTAGTAACCGTAGTAGTGGTAGTAGTTCTCGTTATTGTTGCAGCATCAGCCGCTACTTCAGAGGAATCAGAAGTTTTTGGAGCCTTGGTGTCTTTCTGCAGTACGAGTTTTGGGACTATTTTTGTGGAGGAGGTCTTTGAGGAAGAATTAACATTTCGACGTGGTATTTGGGGGATCGTATCATTGGAGTTTGATGATGTAAATTGTTTTCGTTTATTTGCTGAAAACATATTATTTGTGTTGATTAAGTATAAATTATTTATGAGATTTTTTTAAATACCCGTCAAGCTATTCAACGAATATGCGAATTATATGTAGATAAATTTTTTTTGGAAAAAAAAAAATTTAAAATTTTAAAGAAAATAAAAGTGAGCCCACCAAACCCTCAAACAGAACCAAAGACACAGTCTTTGAAAAAGTAAAACAAGAACCGATAAAGAAAAGGTGAAAATATGTAATGTAACTATGGTTTTTTTTTTTTTTATATATTTTTGCTTTTGGCGCTTTCAACGTTAAAATATAACATAAACATATCTCGCTAACAAAAATCTATAAAAGTCTATATTTATATAAATATATATTATATATATATATATATATATTATATATATATTTTTTATATCGTTAAAAAAAAGAGATATACGACGATATAGTATCGCGGTTGCGTGAATGTCCCGAAAGTTATATAGGGTTTAAAAAATGAAGGAATATTTCTTTTTTTCGAGTGTGGAAAATGGATCGTCGTAATTTGAAAGAAAGTGTTGAAGTTTTTTTAAAATATGAATAAATATTATTGGTTAATGATAAGCAGAATAGTAGTTACACGCATCTAGAAAAATAACATGATTGGGTCAAATTTATGCTGATATTTTTATGTATTACCCTGCTTATTTCCTGCATTTTATTTCGCTTGTGTTTTTGTGGTTTAAATAAGTGAACTTATGTCACTTATTGAATGCATAATTTGCTTACTTTACCGGTAAATATTTGGAATGGTCCAAAATGATGTTAAAACTTTCTCACAAGAATATGCAAAAATATGTATGATCTACGTCACAAAAAAAAAAAAATCCATACCTCGAAGTAAAAACCGAAATTCAAAAACTAGGGAAATTACATTTAACCGACAAAGGTAAGTATTTTTTATAAAACCAAAAATGATTGTCAAGATGTTCAGTCACAGAAATGGCAATCAAAAAAAAAAAAAAAAAAAACTATTGCTTTAACCAAATTGGATAGACATTGTTATGAACTGATAACCTTGCATGCATACTTCGTCGGTTTTCCAAATTTGCCTTTTTCAAGGGAAATTTTTATTACCTTTATGTGTGTATCTTGTTACCTTTATATGTTGGTTATATGTTGGATTTCAGGCTCAAACAAACAAGTCTGCATATGGTTTTAATTATTATATTAAATATTCCTTTTACGTACATACAAGTACCAATATTCGGTAGCGGTAAGAACGATCTGGTCCTTTTTTAATCATGTAATCAGATTTCAATGACATTTATTAAATTTATTTAAATTTATAAAAAGGGAGGATAATGCTGTAATGATCGAATTTCACTTTCGACAACCTTGAATTAATTAAATCATTAAATCTTAAATTAATTAAATCATTAAATCTTAAATTAATTAAATCATTAAATCTTGAATTAATTTGCAAAAAAAACAATAACCACTAATTTTGGAGTGTATTTAGTGTTAGTAAATAAATAATAATCATATATTACATAATAAATAAATAAATAATATATACAAATATATATATACTGATATACTGTAATTTTAAGTTTACATTCTTAACTATCTATAGACTATAGACAATTTAATACTGTGCCAAACGATTTTTGTCAAATAACTAGGCACAATGTAAATGTCCATGTGAAAAAAAATGTGAAAAAGAGGCATGTTAATGCGAATGATATGATTCAAAGTATTGAATGTTTAATAGCACAAGAATTTCTACAAATTCTATGTAAATTCTATTTCAGGACTTAAAGGATTTATATCCAGAAACAGAAACCTAAGCTAATGCAAATTCATGATGTGATTTCCTGCAGAAACAACCAAATCATGTGATATTTTTCAAAGATTTATTTCACTTACGTAGTTGTTTCGAATAAATAATTATAAATAATTATAAAAAGATACTTGAAAACATTAAATATCAAATAGTCATACTTGTTTTTGGTTAAGATTTACTATATAGCAATCAGGGACGTGTGGATTTTGTGATTTGCTGTGATCGAAACAAATCACAGAAACGAAGCAAATCACAGAAAGTATGTGGTTTACGTGATTTACTGCGATTTGCTTCGATTTACTTCGATTACAGTAAAATGTAGTTTTCAAGCGGGGACTTATATTTTCAAGCATATTAAACTGCTATAGAT